TTTCATAATCTCGCTTTGAGTCCTTTTTTAATTTCTTTTATTATGTCATAAAATAATACAATAACAACCAAAAAAGTCGGATTACAACAAAGTAGTAGACTACTATATAACTCCATCATTTATTTATAACTCCTTCTTCATTTCGTCCAGATCAAATAATCCTGAAAAATAGAGAGACATGTTATTAAAAAACAGAAAAAAGACAATGGTACCGGTGTTTGGCAGACTCCACACGGTTAATAGGGTGAACAGATCTTTTGTTTGAAGTTAAGAGCAATTCTAATAGCCAAAAGCAATTACGAATTGGTGACTAAGAATTTCTGTGATATCATATTTCAAGATCACGTGGTAATGTCTTCAGTTGTTATGTATAAATTACATTCTTATATAACAACCATTAATTTATGTTGTACAAATTTATATTGTAGGGTGCACAAATAACTGGGTTGATACGTTCCGCGCATTTGAGCTTATTCTGAGATGTCTTTAAAGAAGGTGACATGTATATGATCGTCAACTATGGTCTAAAACCCAATAATGGGCGGCAAAGGACAACCCTCCATAATTGGAAGATTGTCTTCAATAGTAGGACACGCGTAATCAAATACGATGGAACTTTTCCATGAGCGTCAATAATTATTGAAGATTAGATCCAGAATAATAAGTTTTATCGTAGTTTTCTTATAATTATGTGGTATCTAATTTTATTCCATGTCGTTCAATTTTACTAAGAAATTCCATTTTTTTATTCCATGTCGTTCAACACTGCTATTAGATTACATTTTCATTCTATATATATGAAGTTATTCGATTTAATTTGTTGTTCATTTATTATTCAATTTCATGAGTAAATAATGAATAATGTATTTTAATTTTTGCTCTTTTTTTTTTTGGCCGGAACGATAGAGGAACTATTATAAACCAAGTGCACAAAGTGCGAATCAAAATACAAAGCTCCCAACGGGAGAATAAGAAACAAACGAAAACTGAAAACTGGGAGGACAGATCAGATGACCGCCTAGAATCCCGACTCTAGCAACGCTAGAAACCAAAACATGACTCACAGGACAACTACTACAACAAAACACAAAAAAAACTACAAGGCTCCCCACAGGAGAATCGAGACAGGAGCAGCTCCCCACAGGAGAATCAAGGTTGCTCCCGCTCATGCTTACAGAGATCAACTGATCCAAACAAAAAACACAAGATCCTAAACACGACCACCAAGACGACAAAACAAAAGAAAAAAACACAAGCGCCTAAACACACAAGCCCTTCCACAGAGGCAATTCCGAGACAAGCCGACAGACACCAATTCGACCCCTTAAGAATCCTTCAACCCGAGAAAGCCGACCCCTCCACTGCCTAACAACTATAATTTATTTTAATTTGTGCTCTTCAATAAAAACAAATGGTTGAACGAACGTGTAATGTAGATTCTCGAGTACTATATTAACTAAATGAAAAAAAAAGATCTGAACAAATGTAGATTCTTACAAATATGTTACAATGCCATCAAATTATCCTATATGATTTTCTCGAAAATTTACTTATTTATAAAATTAGACTTAATTGCAAATAAAACCACGACCTTTAAGCTTTTTGCAATTTAATCTGAACTTTAAGGTAATTACAAATAAATCGCAACCTTTTTTAATTTTGGCAACCCGAACCCAAAGTTGATCGGCAGCGAGCTCCGTGCCTACGTGTCCGGGCAGAAAATCTCACGTGTTCTCAGACGTCGCTGAAGAGGATGCCACACTGTCACACACACACACGACAAAGGGTAAAATTGTAAAACTAACACTTAGATCTATACAAATTGATTTATTCACCAATATTCATTCCGAATGTGTAAAATTAGGGCTGGGAGAGGTCCCAACGATTTTCCTCACTTCGATTTGATTAGTTTTATTTGTTTTCTTCAATTTTTACATGTGATTCGGTAATTAACTCAAGAAAAATGGTCCTGAAGAAGGAATTGACGCTTCGGTCTGCCTCCTCACCGTGACGGCATTCCTTTCGGCCGTGAAGCTTCGAACTGCCACTGTTGTGAGAACTTTGGCTTGTGTGGGAAGAGAATGACATTTTCAGAGGTGTGGGGGATGAATAACTCAATTAGGTTTGAAATTGGGAATGAGAAGCTAGGAAATTGGAAGAGGAGCTCGACAATTAGGCGAGGAGCTCGTGAGATTAGGGAAATTAGGGTTTAATTTGGAGAAGAAATAATATGGCTCCTTATATGCATTATTATTTTTGGGTGTGTGTGTGTGTGTCAGTGTGGCATCCTCGTCTCTAAGGACACGTGAGATTGTCTGCTCGGACACGTAGGCACGGAGCTCGCTGTCGATTAACTTTGGGTTCGTGTTGCCAAAATTAAAAAAGGTTGAATTTATTTGCAATTACCTTAAAGTTGAGATTAAATTGCCAAACGCAAAAAAAGTTAAGGTTTATTTAGCAATTAACCCAAAAAAAAAACTTAAAGGTCGTGATTTTATTTTCAATTAAGCGATAAAATTATTATTTGCCTATATTTAATTCGAATTCGATAAGTTTGAAAAGACTCCTACATGATATTGAATAATGAAGGAAACAATTCTAAATAATGTGGATTCTTAACAATATGGTCTATTATCTTCAACATATTCGAATAGACAAAGCCAAAATCCAGGCCGAAGGGTTGGGTATGGCGGACCCTGAACCGGCACGGCTTAGGTCCGTGTCGGGTCCATGACCCGGCGGGCCGGCCGGGCCCGACCCGGGTCTTGACCCGTCCTAATAAGAAAAGAAAAAAAAAGGAAAAATTCAAAAACTATACATTTTTGTCGCGTCGGCCCTGACTCGGCCCAGCCCGACGGGTCGGGGTCGAAAAATTCCCGACCCGGGATTGGCCCTTATGAAATCCGAGCCGGGCCCCGTGGTCAACGGGCCGGTTGACCCGTGGCCATGTCTATATTCGAATTTATTATTTTCTATGCAATTATTTTTCTCAAAATTTTACTTATTTAAAATAATTCAAAATTAATGTTTGATATTATTTTTTTAGCATAGGATTTGGTAGGTTTGTTTTTTACATAAAATTATGGGATCAAAAACACTACTGAACGGATTAGTTTTCAGAAATCCCGCCTATTATTTTTTGTTTATCGGATTAGTTTTGCTTTGTTTATCCGATTAAAATTGTTGATTAATTATGCACGTGCAGCCTGAAAACATGGGTTGATTTACATCGCTCATTATTTAATTTGATTTCGATTTGTTATTTTGAAGCGATTTATGGTAATAGATATATAATTCTCACGGAGTCCTCAGACGTAAACAATTGTTTAATAAAATGATAGGATTTCGGTAATATTTATGTGAATCACATAATATTTAGGGATCGTCTATTATCAGGTACCCTTAGTACCTACCTAACATTAGGTACCCTCTTTATATCACCATTAGATTGACTTAAAATCAATATGAACCATTAGATTAAGGTACGATGTTGGTACGAGGTAACCAAAATTCTATTTTGTCTCGTACCACCCTTGTACCAACCTCGTATCCCGTTGTACTTGCAAATAACCTATAATACCCTTATGTAATTAAAAATTAAAATAAATTATAAAATTATAATTATATTTATCTTTTAAGTCCTTACATCTAAATTATTTCTACAACAATCCTTCATATACAAAACTATTTCATCAAAACCTCAACATTTATTTATCATTATTATTCCAACCAAGGCAGGTCCCCAGACCTAAAACTGTTTTTCACGTCCGTTCACCTGCTCTCTTCCGCACAACGGCCGCGGCTTTTCACCTCCGTCAATTCTCCCAGCCCAAGACCGGCAGCCACACACCGGAAACCTCCCAGGCGGTCAAACCGCATAATGTTTTTTTTTTTTTATTAAGTCCGCCATTAACGGCGGACGAGATCGAAGCTCAATTCTGGCGTCCTGTGCGTCGATCGTATTTATCCGCTCACGTCCAGAGGAGCTTGGTTACGGGTCGAGGCCGACGACAACAACCGGCCGCACGAAGGGGGCCGCCTAGCGGCAGCAGCAACACGACGGAAACGACCCAGCGGCAGCGACCCTTGGCCGCTCGAGTCCCGGCATATCACCGACAGCGGCGTGACGGGAGATCGACGATCGGAGATGGGGAGAGTTATCGGGAAATCCAATTCCAGATTTTGATATGTGCAGATCAGATCCGTTCCAACAGAACCAGCGCAACAACCCAAAATCTTAATATTAGTTTAATTAACCTTAAAACAATTTTAATGACAAATTAAACAAATATACCAGATTCCAAATCAGGCTTTGCGAACAGGTTGAAAACAAAAACGAAAAAGAGATTCCAAATCCCAGATTTCGCAGCGTATAGAACACAAATACTGATGAAGATGATTTGCCTAATTGGAATATGTACATGTCATTAGGGTATAATAATAATATCATAATAGTTAATCACCCTAGTTTATATTTTTTTTTTAAGTAAGGGTACTTTAGTATTTATCCAAGCTTGTTTTTTAATTATTTTTTTAATTAATTAAATTTTGGGACACATGGCGTGATTTTAACGGAGAACCTAATGTTAGGTAGGTACGAGGTTGGTACGAGTCAAATCTGATATTAGAATTCCCCAATTTTGATTATGTTATTCATTTCTTTTTTCTTTTCTTGTTTTTCTTCCAGACACCGTTTAACTTTTCTCGGAGGGGCCTTTAGCACATGAAATCCTCCTGGACTGAGTGTAGCCAGCGAGGCAAGCGAATCAAATAGATGAGAGTAGCATATAGTGCAACCCACCCTACAAATCAAATATCACTTCAATCTTTCACGAAATACATACCTAAAGAAAAACGAAAATGATAAATAAAAAAAACCAAATCAACCTGTATAAATAGGGCTCCTTTCTCAACATTCAAATACCACAAGCTTAACAAAGAAAACTACCAATTAACATTCTTCACATAACAAAAATATAAACACTTACTAAAACTATTCGATGGCTCACAACCGCGCCTTAGCCCTTTTCCTCGTTGCCCTCGTCTTTGCCGCCGCCTCAAACCCACTGGCCCACGGCCTGCAGTTGAATGTGACTGGCCTAACCATAAGCGGCCAGCTCTGCTGCAGGCCCACAGGAAATTGCCCCGGACAGGGTGTTTCCGGAGCCCTCGTTAGCCTCAACTGCACGAATTTCCTCGGTGTAACCACCACAGTCGGTCAAACCACGACAGGCATTAACGGGACGTTTAACATTACTGTTCCTGGTTTGACCAATCTTCTTCGAGGCTTGCCCAATCTTCCGTGCGTTGCCAGTGTTCAGCTCCCTCTCGACCCTGCAATTTGCCCCGTGCTTTCCACCGTTAATTTTTATTTTTATTTTTTGATACAAAATATGAATGATAATTTAATTTATATAATATGATATATGAATTTCATTGCCCAATAGAATTGAGACACATGTCCCATTTAAAAAAAAAATCCTTACCTACTTACCCCAGGCACTTTTGGAGAAGGTGTATTTCACTAAAGGCCCTGACACACCTAGCAAGGTGTGCCGCTAGGTGTGCCAGGGCACACATAAGTATTTGCACATCTTTAGAGCCTTGTCCCTTTGCATTGCAGGCAGTGATAATTGATATGGTACGATTTTGGCATTACCAATAGACATTTTCCCTTTTATTAACCAAATAAATGTGGTTTTCGATAATTTGTACATATATTTTTATTATTATTCTCATTTAGCTAATAAATACATTACGTCTTTTCTTAATCACTCTTATTTTTTCTCAAATCATTCATCTTTATCTTCATTAAATAAGGTTATTATTAACAAAAAAAAATATTCTTAATTAATGTGCAAATTCTCAAAACGACATTTATTAAAAATAGGAGGTAGTAATTTCTAAAAATTCTTTAAAGAGTAATTAAAAATGGTACAACATTATATTCTCACATATTTCTCAACAAGTTGTATTTCTACTCCAATACTAATGGGATTTGGGATTTGTATTAAGCTAAATCTAGTCTATCAGACTCGTTTTCTCTTCTACTCAAGGTGATCACCAGAGTTGATATATATGCATACATTTGCATTCAATAATTATTATCTTTCAATATATATATGTATAATTTCACATTCAATAATTACTTAAAAGAGTAAAATGTAGCGGTACTTCATCCGACGTCCTCTCAGTACCACTGACCTATAGTCCGAAAACCGAAGTCTACACAACGTTCTCTTATACCACATGTTAACGTCATCATTGAAATGAGCCCAATTGTCATAACCGCCCACCAAAAGTTACTTTTCGCAAAAGTAACCGTATACCCCTCAAAATACGAGCCCAAAAAAAGGATACTATAAATAGTAGGTCCTTATTCATGTACAGGGGATCGAATCCTGAATATTCATAGATACAAAAAAGCGAGAATCACTTTTCACCTCGGACTGAGTCTATCGTTGTTGTGTTTATGAATGCTTTACTTTGTTTTACAACCACATAACAACACACATATATACCAATTTATTTAAAATAAAAAAAATATATTTGATGTACAGTAAAATGTAGAGATAAGGGCTGAAGATGAATGTTCAACTCTACTCTAGAGTAGATTAAAAGTCTGCGATAGAGTAGAGATAAGGGCTGGAGATTACCTGATTGTTGATTAACTCTACTCTAGAGTAGAGTGAAACAAAAATCAAATTTCGTCCGCGCTACATTTTACTCCACAAAAATATTTTTTTTATATTTTTACACATTTAATTTTAATATTACAAATGTAATTTAATTAGATATATTATTTTACACATATTTAATGATTTAAATTATTATCATTATATAATAAATAAAATATAAATAGTACAACAATATTTATAAAAAGATTATATTATTTACTAAAACATGTATCAAGTATTTACTAAAATATTAACTAAGATTTAAGAACATTGAAAATAAATTTCTAGTGTGTTAATCTTGGTTCATCCGATAATTTACCACATTTTTTTTATTATAAATAAATTTGTTAAAGGAAGATGTGTATTATGTTTAAAAAATATGTGTTAAATATTTATTCATAGGTACAATTTTAATATTGAAAAATTACAAAATAAAATTATAACACATCAATCAATAAAAAGTACAAAGTTTTATCATAAAAAAAGAAATTTACTACTAAACATTGGGAGACCAGAGTAAATGGATCGGCCTTTTGTCGCCAAATTGGGAAGCAGATGAGAATTGGGAATCCAAAGGAGGAGGCCAGAGTAAATGGATAGGCCTTTTGTCGCCAAATTGGGGTGTTTAGGCATTAATTTCTTAAAAAATAAATAAATAAATAACAATAACAATAATTGTTAAATTGTATATTTGTTTAATTTTTTATTTTTTATTTCTGATTTATTTTTGTATATATATATATATATTAATTTTTATTTTTGGTAGAATTTTATTATTATATTGTTTCCTTTTATTATTTGATTTTCTTCTCCTAATGGATTTCTACTCATAGAGAAAGAGAAAAGAATGGAAAAAAAAAAATCAATTTTTTTTTTCCATGAATTCTCTCCCCCGTAAACCCTACTCCCGCGGCGCTTCCATTTACTTCCGGCGATTTCGCCTTCCTCGATGCCGGTTAGCCACGGCCAGAAGTCGTCGATGACCTTTGAGGTCGCGCGCTCTTGAATGTCGGCGGATGGGCCGCGATTTGTGCTCGAGCTCGCGGTTGCAGATTGGAGTTCCAGTGGCGGCGACGTCCCCGGTAGGTGCTTGGTGGTGGTGTCCCTTCGTCGCCGACGAGTTCCGACTGGAGATGGTAAGTATGCTGTCTCTTTTTTCTGTGATGACGGGTTGTCTTCTCCGGTGGAGCTCCGTCCTTTCTGATGGGTTGGAGCCTTTGGTCGGGGGGTCTGCTGTTTCGGTTTTGTTGCAAGTTTTCTCGCCGGCGCATTCACATTCCTGGGGAACGTCTAATTACCGTTGTTATAAACTTGCTAATTATATTCTTCTCCACTTATCAAGTCTGTCTCAAATGTATGCCATGGTGACTTATGTGTGTCATAACATAATATATTATATGTATGTGATAAGTGTGTCTTTATATGAAATAAAATGGAGAAGGAAATAAATAAAGTTCAGTTTTACGATCTTATTAATGTTCAAGTTGGTGACATATTCTCATGTTTCTTCCATTATAATGTTGGTGACATATATTTGATCCATGCATGCAAATAATATAATCAAATATTGATTAATAATGTGTATATATAAATTTTGTTGGACAAAAGTCGCAAAATCGTAGTTAGATGCTATGAGTGGTAGATAAACCCAGGCCCGTATTAAGGGGGGTGGCAGCTGGTGCGACGCCCAAGGGCCCATGAGGCTAGGGGGCCCATGAGTATACTTTATATACATGTATAGTAGATGTATTGGTCAATTCAAATAATAATTAATTTAGCCTCTAAGCTCAATAACATCAACAGAATCAAATTGATCTTGATGTTGTTCTTGAAGATTTTGCATCAAGAAATGCTCGAAGGCAGATTTTTAAAAAGAACTGAAGCATAGC